CCAAAACACAAATCTATCCAAACATGATCAACATTAGATGATTTCATTCTACAAATTGTAAATTAATTTACTAAACAAATGAGCTATAAACTACATATCATCACTAACTTAGAGAAAAACATACCTTTATTAAGTTTATAGTTGATAATTTGGGAGAGAAATCATTGAAAAATTATATAGAAATAAAATTATGTAAAAAAAATTAGAGATGGGGAAGGATGTCGTTGGATATAGGAACGGATGTTGCCGAAAAGAGTGATAGATGGAGATGGAAGGAGTTGCGATTTAGGGATTTAGGTTATGAGTTGTTGCTGCTGCGTAGTTATATACCCAAAACATTTGTGTTGCGAAACTAGAAATTAAAATTTGTGTTGCGAATTCGAAAATCGAGTTGATACAACAAAATTCGCGTTGCGAATTCAGAAATCGAGTTGCGAATTTAAAATTCAGTGTTGCAAATTTGGAAACTGAGTTGCGAAATTGGAGTTCGCGTTGCGAATTCGAGATCGCATTGTGAATTTGTTGGTCATTTTCGCAAATCCAAAAAAAGTTAGTTAAAATCGTATATTATAAGACATTTTCGGTCACTGAAGTTATTTTCTCTATTTATAATCTTATGATTTTTTTTAAAAATAAAATACAATAAATTTATATCGCATCCAATGTCAAGGGACAAAGAAGACAGGAACGAGGTAAGCAATTAAGAAACTTGAAAGACATTTGGGCTTAAATGCCGGCTATGATCAATCTGCATGTGCAAGTAAAGTAAGTATTAGATGAAGCTGCCTGATGAGTGATGAGCATGCAGCCATCATTATGTATCATTATCATGAGCTGTCCCCATGACAAAGCAACGTGAATAGGCCATTGCCGTTCAGAAAATGTACTCGGTAATACCAGCAGCATCATCATCCACACCATGATGATGAATTATGAAATACAAATCATCGTAATATATGATGCATGGGATGAAGTCTCATGCATGCATCCGAACATCCAAGTAAATCAACATCAAAAGAAATTTTCTTTCAAGGAAAACACAATCTGTATCCAAAATCTTTTTTTTCCTTGATCAAAACGTTTGTGGGGTTGAGTGGATGCTTCGAGTTTAACTTTTGTGAACATAAAAAGAATAATTATAAAAACATATTATTTCCCATTTAAAAGTTTAACTTAATTTGACCTTAATATAATCAGAAGTCGTGTAGTCAACGACATCGGTTTTCTTTTAAGTGGTCGTATGTCTGGTAAACCCTTCTTATGGTTCTATTTGATTTTCCAACTTGACAAAATCATTGCTCCATATAAATAGATGTTTCATGCATGCTTAAATCCCCTTTGTAACCACCACTTTTCAACTCTTTCAATACCTCATCTTTGTATTTTAAAGTATAAGTCAGGCTTAATTATTGAAAATTCACTAACTACGAGTTGATTTTTATAAATAATACGCTAAATCTTTAATAAAATCAAGGATTAAAATTATGTTATTGTAAATGAAACAAATTGAATTAAGAAAATTGTCCTGTAATAAATCTTTATAATACTGATCTAATTTAATTAATCAATAAATTAAATACAAATAATTATAAATAAAACTATAAAAACTTAATTCAATTATATGTAAATTCAAATATTATATGGGTAAAGTACACAGAGGGTCCTCCAACCATAGAATGTTACTTTGTTGAGTCCTTCAATTATTAAAAGTTATAAAATGATTCTCGTATATAGGACATTCCTTTGTTGAGTTCTCTGACTATTAAAAGTTACAAAATGATCACCCGACTATTCATATGTTCCAAACCCGTCTTTTACTGTAAAAAAAATTGGCAGCCTTCTTAGCTGGACGTTAACATGTTGATTGAGATATGATAACATCTAATCTCATAATTGTTTCAAGTGTATTTTGTGGATCGAGTTTCCATTTACATTGTATCGTCGAGCTAGTGCTTGAAAGCTATAACGGTGCCAATAAACGTTATTAAAATATGATTTTATCATATATCAGTCAGTTAACTCAAACTATTGTCAATCTTTTAATAGAAAATGATGTCTTTAAAGTATATGAATAGTCTGATAACCATTTTGTAACTTTTGGTAGTCGATGACTCAACAAAGCAACTCTCTATAGTTAGAAAACCGTTTTATAATAGTCGACGGACTCAATAAAACAGTCTTATAGTTAATGGGCCATTTGTATACTTTACCCATGTTATATACGCTGTCTGCGTTTTTAAATTATATATATACTATGAAATAGAGTATAAGGGATATAATTGATGATATGCAATAGTAAGCTTTAAAAATTAATATCACACTTGCTCATAATTCTATTCTCTTCTTTTCATGTGGGAGTGGGGTCTAATTGGAGTTTCCCTTTATAGCTATTCTACTTTTGTTTTGGGTTGAACAATAAAAAATAAAAAAATTATCTTAATTGTAATGTATTATAATTTATAAATTTAAATTTAATTTTAGAGGAAGGAATTAAAGATGTTTATTTTCAAACCGAACTCATACAGTATGTTGTTAATATTGTAACTCGAACATTTAATCTGAATTGAGAAGTGAATACTTATTCATCATTTATATTTTTTATTATATTATAATCATAATTTTGATGACATCTTAAACTATACTTAGATTTCATTTTATTTCTACAAATATCGTTATTTGAATCCGGATCGTTAAAATGAACAAATTATTCTAAACCACTAAAATGAATCAATAAATTTATATTATAATTATATATTTGATGCTCGATAATTGTATAATATAATAACTGCTCTACATTATACTTTTCCTTTGTGAAATATCTTCATGTGCATGAAGTCCCCATTGTCTACAAAGCTGTCTGCATATATTTTGCTTTAGCAGCCTTTTATTTTTAAGTGTCAACTTTGATTTTTCTTTCCTTTCCTAATTGTATTTGATGAAATTGACCTTAGGATTTATTAGTATAACCAATCGACGAAGCAAATAATATAACACCGATTACAACTTAATTCTACAATAGTCTTGTCGATGGTATGAGTAGAAAAGTGGTAAATTTAGATTATTCATTTTTTTTAAAAATTAGATAAAATTGTAGTCGGTGATGATATGAAGGAATGCGAGAAAAAGATTGAAGAAGACGATAAACAATTAGTGTAAGATCTTCTCTTTCAACCTTATTTGTATGAGTATGTGTCCCTAACACCCGATAATAAGATGGTTGGTGTCACTCTTAAAGTTTATAACTATTGATGAGTTTGATAGATGAGATAGATTATACTGGCAGATAGTATATTTAGTTGGTGAGAAATTGATAACGGTCATATTGAGATATTATAGTCAAATGCAGAAAATAACGAGATTATCTTTAAATGAATCTTAAGATATTTAAGAAAATCTAAATAAAGATTTTGAAATTTCTAATACCGAAGAATGACAATAGAGATATACATAGGAACGTTAACAAAAAAATATAATTTACAGAAGGTAAATCAAGGCTCAAGGCAACCAACTCCAAGGCAGCAGGAATATGAGACCATGAATGGGCCGACGAATTTCATGCAATGAAATAACAACAGCAGCAGCACAATATAAAATTATAGGCATGCAAATTGCAATCGCAGTCCACAAAACCAAGTGCGCGTGCTGAATGTCAACAAATTTTATAAAAGGTCCCTCTGCTATATGTTTAATGCAATTTAATCCTTTTATTATATTTTAATCACTTCTAATCTTACTTTTATCCAATAAGTAAACTTTTACACGCTTAAGCATACTAGAATCCATTATCTTACTATGACCTCCCAAAACTTTTAGCATAATAACACATTAAGCTCTCTCTTTTTTTAAATATTAATTAAGTAAGATATTTATTCTTTTCAACTTTTAAATTTAAATATTCGATAAATTTTAAATCTTTTGATATAAAATAACTTAAATCTATCTTAAACTTTGATCTAAGCTCCATTTATAGTTTTATACCTATTTCCGAATTCAGGCACATATTGATTACTGTGCTGTTATCAACAACTTGTTTCCATCTTTTTTATTTTTTGGTGTGTTAATGTCAAATTATCTAAACCGCAGAAAATTAATGGTAATAATTAAAGAGTATTAAATAGTTTGGGTAAAGTTTAACTTCCATCTTTTAGTTTTAATGTATGTAAGTAGGGATGGGTTATGGGTATGGGTTGGGTATGATTAAGTTTTTGACCGATTTGGGTTTGATTTAAGTATTATTTATATCTTTTCATCTATTATTTGATTCGTTCCAAATTTAGAGAGATTCTATCTGATTTGATAATTAACTCAATTTTAGAGATAAATTTCTATATCTGATCTAATCTGACTCGATATATATATATATAATTCTCATTTTATTAGGTAAAATATAGACCTAATTGAAAATATATATATATATATATAAATGGATATTATAATAATTATCTCTATAAAAAGATCAATTATACTATTATTCTCAAGTAGTTTTTTTCACCTAAAACTCTAACTTGACCTGATTCGATTCTAATATAATATTTTTAAAAATATTGTCCTTATAAGATTGAATCGAATCAAAATCTGATGGATTTGGATGAGTACCCATCCCAAGGAGTAAGCTTACATGGAGAAGTTATAGGGAAATGAGAAAGAGAAGAGGCTAAGAGTAAAGCAAACAACATTGGAAAACCAGAAAATCAAGTTTATAATTCCCATTTGTCCTCACAAACCCAAGCAAACAACAGCAGAAATTCAATACCCATTTTCTTTTTTGTTTTCCCCTTTTGAAATTAAACACAAAAAAGCTAAAGTTTCAGTCCTTGTATTGGAGACTGGAAACACACCTCTTCCCACTTCACTTTCCCTCTCTCTCCAAGAAAATTCCTTTTTTTAATACCCTAAGCATGATTTCATCACTATACGCAAGTATTTATATCAGCAGTCCCACATGGCCTAAACTTTAAGAAAACTCAATTCCCCCTTCATTTCTCTAATCACCACAATGTCTACTTAGAACAAGTTCAATCCTTTCGAGTGTTGTTTTTTTCAAGAGATTTGGCAATGGTGTAAAAAGAAAATGGTGTTGTTTCGATCGAAGACGGCGATAATATACACTAATGGAAACCAACATAGGCCAAGAAACAACAACAATGGCTTCTTGCTGTTGTAAAATCTCATCCATCGTACCTCTTTTTGTATTCTTTCTCCTTGTTTCTTCTCCGATTCATACCGCTCGGGAAACCGACGATCCCCATGCAAAGAACCAAACTTTGCGGCCACAAGAAGAGTTGCAGAAGTTGAAAATAGTAAGGGAAAGTCTCAGAAAGATCAACAAGCCGGCTCTGAAGACGATACAGGCAATTCATCTAACGAAAGCCTCTGTTTTTGTTCTATTTTCTTCTGTATAAAATACTAAATACGCCATTGTTTTGATGGTGCAGAGTCCGGATGGTGATGTTATTGATTGTGTGTTACTGCGACATCAACCAGCTTTCGATCATACTCAATTAAAAGGAAGAAAACCGTTGGTAAATCATCAAATTTTACTACCATGAATCAGTTTCTGTCTTGTTTCTCTTTCCTATGTGAACATTGGATTTGGATTGGCAGGTTCCACCAGAGAGACCAAATGGTCATAATCCAAAAAGGATGATGATGGCAGCAGAAGATTTTCAGTTATGGAGAAGATCGGGTGAAACATGTCCGGAAGGGACGATTCCGATCAGAAGAACGACCGAACAAGACATGTTGAGGGCTAGTTCCGTCGCGAGTTTCGGCAAGAAATCCGCGAAACTTGTTCGAAGAGACACAACTAACGATGGTCACGAGGTAGGTGCCACTGAACTAGTTGTTTACTTTTCTTTGCTTAGAGAGGAGGGTAATTTCATGGATTAATGCCACTAATTCTCCTCAATCAAATACTAATACATAAGTTAATATTGGATTACAGCATGCAGTTGGGTACGTGAGTGGAGATGAATACTACGGAGCTAAAGCAAGCATAAACGTGTGGGCACCAAATGTCACTAATCAATACGAATTCAGCTTATCACAATTGTGGGTCATCTCCGGTTCATTCGGCGACGATCTCAACACCATCGAAGCTGGCTGGCAGGTATGTGGATCATATATAAACCTCGTTTTGCTCAAAATTTATCAGATGGGAGGGACTAAAGTTGCAATTATACCCTTTTTAATGCAGGTCAGCCCGGAGCTATACGGGGACTATTATCCAAGATTTTTCACTTATTGGACCGTGAGTATAATTTCCCTTTTTCTTAGCTTTTTTTTATTAAGCTCTATCTTGAAGCTTAAGATACATCATTTCGTGTCAAATTAATAATGTATTAAACAAGATCACAAGTTCAAATATTGGTATTATGAATGAAGAAAATTAGGTTAGAATAGTTGTCTCTATAAATGGAATTCTACAATACTCGATTATGATTAGTCAGTCAATAAATTAAATATCGATGATTAAATAAAAATAATAATGATTTATCATGAAACGTTGTGTTTGCAGAGTGATGCATACCAAGCAACAGGGTGCTATAATTTGCTGTGCTCAGGCTTTGTTCAAACTAATAATAAGGTTGCCATTGGAGCTGCAATCTCGCCAACATCATCCTATGGTGGTGGACAATTTGATATCAGCCTCTTGGTTTGGAAGGTACCACCTTACAGTTATTATACTAATTTCAACTATAAATAAAGTAGAAAAATTTAGAATAATTGCATAGAAGGTCCCTGTATTAAAATTTTTAATTACTACATTTTTATATTTTTTTACTCATACTTTTGAATCGTGTATTTTAGTCTTAATATCAACTTTTTTTCGTCAATTCTGTCAAATTATTTGAAATGATCTATTTTTCATAGTTTGATATTTTCTTTATAATGGAATAAATAATATTTATTTTTCTCCTTTTATTTATTTAAATATATAAAAATTTATCAATAGTACGAAAAAAAATGCTAAGATATACATATGTTATGTCGTCATATGATTAAGAAAATAACTCTGGTCAAACTATTTGACGGAACTAACAAAAAAGAGTTGACATCAAGATCTCAAATACATATTTTGGAAAATAGAGGGACCTTCATAGAATTAGACTAATAAATCCAGTTGTATTTTTTGTCAAGAGTAAAATATACTAGAGGTCATTAAATTATGTTCAAATGATCATTTTGATCACTAAAATTTCAAAAATTATAAAATGATCATTAAATTTATTAAACTATTATAAAATAATTATTAAATTTATTTATTTTTATACTTATTACAATAATTTAATAAATTTAAAATTTTAATAACTAAAATCAGTATGCGAGATGACACTAAAAAAAATGCGGGTTGCATAAAGTAAAATCATAAGCAAAAAGCATTGTGGATTGCAATATGGCAAGCTCTATTCATTTCATGCACTTCGCCCGCGTACACTGTTAATCCCCCCAAATGCTTGTAATTCTCCACAGCTTTTCTTTTGCTTTGCAAGATTCTATTCTTTTCCAAGTAAAAAAAGACCTCAATGGTGCACTGACCCCTCCACTTTCTTTCCCAATTTACCACATCAATCTTTCCCTTTTCTTTATGAAAATTTTTCGTGTTCGATAGTCACAAGAATATTCATTAAGTTCAAGTCGACAAACGAGTATCACATACATATTTGGTGCAGGATCCAAAGCACGGTAATTGGTGGCTCGAATTCGGATCGGGGATTCTCGTAGGATATTGGCCATCATTCTTGTTCACCCACCTAAGGGACCATGCTAGCATGGTACAATTCGGAGGAGAAGTTGTAAACTCGAGCCCGGGAGGTTCCCACACATCGACCGAGATGGGCAGCGGCCATTTCGCCAGCGAAGGCTTCGGAAAAGCCTCGTATTTTCGAAATTTGCAAGTTGTTGATTGGGACAATAACTTAATCCCATTACCAAACCTTAAGGTGCTTGCAGATCATCCCGGTTGCTATGATATCCAAGGAGGGATCAATGCAGTTTGGGGCAATTATTTTTACTATGGAGGACCTGGGAGAAATGTGAAGTGCCCTTAAAGACAAGGGTATTTGATGGAATTTTTAATTTAAAAGAAATTATATAGTTTTTTTTAATACTTGTTGGGTTTCTTGAGAAGATCATTGATGAGTGAGTTTGGGTATTTTTGGGGTAAATTTTATAGTAATTATTTTCCTTGTTGTTAATCCCATTTTTGTTGAGTTAATTATAGCATTTTTAGGGACTTTTTGTGTAAATTTGGGAAAATAGTGGAATATTATAGTGAAATAAGTATGGCTTGTGGATCCAATTATACATAATGATGGAAATAGACATAATTTATAACTGGATATTATTAATAACATGAAACAAGTAATGATGATAAACCGAGAAATCATTTTTTTTAAATTTGTTTTTGTTGAAATTAGTCGCGATACTTCACTTAGAAATTATCTATTTATAATTAAATATATAAACTTTAACGTTGGATTTCGTTAAGTTGTAATATTAGCACGAATTGTTACAAGTAAACTAAATCATAAGAAGATAATATAAAGAAAATATCTAAATTATATATAAATTTATAACTTTGAAAGGATGCGACTATCCCAATACTCCTTACTCTCAACTGAGAAATCATGATTTAAGGTCATGAAAAAAGAGAGTTAGTGGTCCTATTAATAAAATCAAGCATTCATTGAAATCAAAACACAAACTTCAACTACAAGCAAAATACATGGGAAATGATGAGAGTATGAAGAAGGAGAGAGGCATGCATTCAGCTGAAATTGGCAAAGTTGTTCAGTTGCAGATTTTGTTGATGGATCCCCAGTAGCAGCATTCAGCTTACCAAATTGTCGGAGGTTGACGATGACCGTTTTATAATAAAATTTATATTCGATAGTATTATTAAACTAGATAATGACACATAACTATAAAACGTTCATTAAATTTATATTTAAAAACTTTCGATAATATATATTCATTCGATTTACTGTCAATGTACCGGATATGTGTGATACTTCGTATTAGCATGCTTCTGTTTATGGTTTAAATAGAATAGTTGAACTATACTTCACGCAATGCTAGAAGTATTTGATGTAATGTAAGGGGAATAAAGGGACAAAACACGAACATAGAAGGTAGACTTGAAGAAGCTTGAAATTTACTCATCACTTGAATTGTATCGCTGTCCCCCTCTATCTTAACCATCTTTGTCACACAAGACAAGCAAATTGGACCACATGGGCTCAACTTGCCTACAAACAAAAGGGGGGAAATTAGGTTTGCTTTAGGCATCAGAATAATTCAAAATAATAAAAAATTATAAATATTGAGATCCGATTTCTAAACCCATAATATCTCTTAAAACTAATAAAAGATTTTGAATTCGGAAACATATAACTTTATTATTTATAGAGTTTTTGACATAAAGTTCAATTTGAGTCCATCTTATTATTTAAGATTTAATAGTTAAAATTTAGAATTTAACACGTCTCTTAAAATTAACTCTCAAGTTTGGGTTCGGAAACATTTAACTTTAGTTTCTACTTCATGGACCGGAATAAGGAGTGGGTTTGTGAAGTGTTGGGCTTAAAATAATACCTTGTTTTTATTTTTATTATATCATAATGTTAATACTTATGTTTAATTATTTTACTTTTAAATCGTCGTTTTATCCCATAATTATAGAATCAAAAATCAAACTTAATTCCTAAAAGTAAAATAAAGTTTATAATTAATTATTTATCTCTCGCATAATTATGATATCGAAATTCAAACTTAGTTCATAAAAATAAAATACATGATTAATTATTTATCTCTTAGGAGAACGTTAATAATAAATGAATTAATCATTTATTATAGACGCGATATGGAGGTGGGGCGTGATTGTTTTTATTATTATTATTTAATAATTAAAAATAATAATATATGTTTAAATATAATATCCGTAACAACGCATATTATTTCAATAACGGATTAGAAGATGCATGATCAAGTGGTGAACAAGTAAGAAAATACCAAGACAATTCCATAAAAATAATAGGTTCAATATGCATTTTAGTATGTGAATTTTGACTTTAAGGGTTAATTTAGTATTTAAAGTTTTTTAGTTAAATTAAATACATAAATTTAGTTTTCATTTGATATCATCTTTATGGGTAAAGTACGTGAGACTATAAGACGTTGCTTTGTTGAGTTTTAAATTATTAAAAGTTATAAAATGGTCATCCGACTGTAAGATGTTATTTTGTTGAGTCATTCGACAATTAAAAGTTACAAAATGATCACCCGACTATTCATATGTTCCAAACTCTTCATTTTTCGTTAAAAAAATTGACGGCAGTTTGAGTTGAATATTAACATGTTGAGTGAGATATGCTAAAATATGATCATAGGATCTCAAACTACTATCATATCTCAGTCAACATGTTAACATCCAACTCAAACAGAAAAAGAACGAGTTTGAAACATATAAATAGTTGATTTATCATTTTATAACTTTTAATAGTCGATGCACTCAATAGTAGGTGATCATTTTGTAACTTTTAATAATTAAAAATTTAATAAAATAATATTTTATAGTCTAGATGTAATTTGTGTACTTGACTTTTTTTTTTAATTAGATATATGAATTTATCCTATTAATTCAAATTTACTAGTCATTTACTAATAGAAAACCTCTGTCGCAGTTAACTTTTTGGCAGTTACCACAAGCTTTTCATTAAGGCCAGTGGAGGGGGTCTCCTCCGGCCACTTTCATGTCATTTTTATTTTTTTTAATTGATTGTTGTTTAAGTTTATTTTTTCAGTTATATTTAATATATTTAAAATAATATTTTCTTTTGGTCTTTTTTCTAGTAAATGATATCATGGTTATCGGCGTTTTTAGACTCTTAGTGCATGTTTCTTCCATTGGTCCATAATTCTTCGAATTTCACGATTGCTTGTTTTTTCGATACAGATTTCTTTGTTCGTTTGCATATGACATTCTGTTGGTTCTCATATATATGTGGCGGACGAGATTACGGTTAAAGGATGATTCGTTTTTCATTTGTTCATTCTAGATATTCTTCAAGTTTTCCTCCTTTATGTTTGATGCTTTGAGACATCAGAATGATTCATCTCTATATGTTGTTGCCTCAATTGTTCACACTCTTGCTTATCACTAGTCGATCACCATTTTATTTTACTTATGATAAATATGAATGTATGTATGCATATAGCAAGACGTTATTAATAATATTTTATTTGACCAATGAATATATTATACTTCTACTTAAAAATATATTAGTCATTTGCATACTTTATTTATTTTTTAATTGGGTTTTCTCGTTGGTGAATTGAACGTCAAACAAACATCCGTTTCAGCATTGATTAATTTATGGGTTTCTAAATTTATCAACAAAATAGTAAGCAAGAGATTTCTGGGTTTTCTTTAAATGGATTGGGAATTTAATATTCCATCTTTATCTTTCCCATAATTTAGTGGGGACCCATTACTTCAATCGTGGAAAGGAAGATAAAGTGCACAATTTGATAGGGGGTGGTGGCGATGGAGATGGAGGCTTTGCCAGCAGGACATATGACATCTACAAATCCCCAATTTGGCTTCCCATTGGCCACTTTTGTATATTTGGAATCGACGATGAATTTTTGGGAAAAAGAAACCATTTTTTCTCGAAGTTTGAAACTGAATTCCCCATGAATGGCAGTCATAACAACAGAAAATAACCAAAAACAATAACAAATATTTGACCCCCCTGTGGTAGTATCATATATCATTGAAGGATTTTAGCCCTTTTGTCTATACATTATTCTTGTTTTCTATTCAGAGAAGAGCCTTCTTTTTCTTTTCCTTTTGGGCTTTTCAAGGAGGAGGAGGAGAAGAAGGCTCTTCTTTTTGAATTTTTAGAAGATGATAAGATGGTGGATTTATGCTTTGCAATTAGCCGAGCTGGTTATCAGTTCATTGGTTCACATGTTGTATGGATTGTATATATTTAGCACAGCCGTCGCTGGGAATCTTTCTCAGAATTTAAGTAAACGTTTTTTAAGCCTAATGCTAATTTAGTAGTCCAAAGAGAAGATCACAATAGAACCAATGTGGATCATCTGCCTGCTATTGTATTGGTTCATGGCATTTTTGGATTTGGCAAAGGAATATGTTTTTTTTTTTCTTCTTTTTAATATTGTTATGTTTTTTTATGTTCATGATCTGGGGCTTTAGTTTAAAGCTGGAATTTTTGATCTGTTGTTTTGCAGAAACTAAGAAGTTTTTCATATTTTGCTGTAGTAGAGAAGAAAGATTAGAGAGTTCTTTTGCCTGATTTAGGATCTCTTACCAGCATATACGATAGGTAGGCCCTTTCTTTATAGCATGAATTCTTGCCATTTATGTTCTTCTTTGTGCATTTTGTCATATGGGATTTTGTTGGTTTTACAGGGCACGTGAATTGTTCTATTATTTGAAAGGAGGACGAGTTGATTATGGTGAAGAAACACAGTAAAGCTTATGGCCACTCCCAGTTTGGACGAGTTTATGAACAAGGCAAGCAGAAAATATCCCGGATTTGTATTTGGTTATGGTTAGAGTTTGACCTAAATTCGAACAATATATATATTCGTTTTCCATATCGATGTAGGGCATTATCCAGAATGGGATGAAGATCACCCGATTCACTTCGTCGGCCATTCAGCCGGTGCTCAGGTCGTTCGTGTCTTGCAACAGATGCTTGCCAATAAGGTTACTAAATCTCCCTTTCATATGAAAAACAATGGTGCATGAACTTCATTCTCGTCATTGTATGATTTTGTTGTGTTTCCCCAGGAATTCAAAGGGTATGAGAAAACTTCCGAGCACTGGGTTTTAAGTATAACATCCTTATCCGGGGCTTTCAATGGCACTACCAGAACTTATTTTGACGGTATGCAGCATGTTCCCTGTTGGTCAAATAGACTGCTGCAAAACGAGGCGTTAGCATTGACTGGAAAATATTAAATAAAATAATCAATCAGAATGATAACCGTGTCGTGGTAATCCACTGCCTTAGAAGCAAATTCGCCCCGATGTGTGTAATCGCTACAATGGACGAACAACCCCTGAGGTTAACACGGCTCTCCAAGAATTCGTACACCCGAAAACTGGAGTGAACTTGGTGGTAT